ATCTGGCCTGGTGGATCAGTCTCTAGACAGGTCCACTCCTCCTGCCAGACGTGTGCCAAGGCCAACCTGCAGGGGGCCCTCCAAATACACCATTCCTAGCACCAGTTCTGAGGACACAAACTGGGCAAGTACTGGCAGGTTGACTTCACCCACATGGCCACTCATAAAAAGCTCTGTTGTCTCTTAACTCCTACTGACATCTTTACAGGATGGATGGAGGCACTCCCCACATCCAGGAAAACAGCAGATGTGATGGCTCAGGTACTCCTGGAACACATCACCCCTCAATTTGGTGTGCCATTCCCCCAAGGTCCTGGAACATCAGTGCTGGTAGCACCTCTCCAGACTCAAGCAGGGACCTACCCAGGATAAATGGGCATATCTCCATTCCATTCTTTCTGGCAGTCTTCACTCTTCCCATTCATAGGACCAGTGTTAATAATCTGTTTTTTCCCTAGCAACTTGTCTCCTCCACTTCCTCAAGGAACAGATCCCTGAGGTCTCCAGGATGGTAGTTAACCAAATGCTTCCCCACCCACATCTCCCACTGAGCATGAGCCCACTGACTCCCAAATTCTCCTCCCCACATCATCCCATGCCAGCAGGAAGTAGACAGACTTGAATTGGCACCCATATATCAAGGTTGAGATGTTTAGCTGGGAAGCTTTGCCTCAGCCACCCCCCCCCCTTGCTCTTCAAACCCTGCCCCTCAGACAGCCTGCCAATCCGTGGCTCCTCCCTGGGAGCTCTTCAAGACTGCACCTGAATCCATAGATCTGCCATATGATTTCTCCTTCCCCTGAGATCACCTGGGAATGCTTTGCTCATTAACCCTGGACTTCTAATTCAACTTGATTTGCATTGATGGAGAAACCCATTACCAGGGATTCAAAAAATACTTATCATGATCCTAATAGAAGGTTTTTAAATTTTTTCTTTCATGAGTAAGTAAGTCCTTGATCAAATTTTTCTTAACTGATTTTTTTTTAGACAACACCTCACTATGTAACTCTGGATGGCCTGGAACTCTCTATGTAGACCAGGATAACCCAGAACTCACAGAGACCCACCTGCCTTTGCCTCCTAAGTGCTGAGATTGAAGGTGTGAACCACCATGTCTGCTTTTTACTGATTTTTCCATTGAGGTTGAACTAATAATCAATTTTTTCCTCTCAATTAATTTAACACTGCTCACATCTTCCTAGTGCCCTGCAATGCCAGCCACTTTAAGGAAGACACTGATTCTGAATAAGTTTGGATTTTTTCCTGGCTTCTCTGGTTTGTGTGGTTTGTCTAATTTCTCAGCTCTGAACAGGTCCACTGCTGTTTCATTGCTAGAGCTTTAGTCTCAAGTCTTGGTGACTTGCCACTCTTGTGGATGTCAGGAAGTCTCTGGAAACAATGGTCGGGTCTCCTTCTATGCACACCTTCGGACTAGCCAATCAGTTCCTAAAAAGAAAACCCCATCTGAGCTAGAGAGATGGTTCAATGGTTAGGATGGTGGTTTCTCTTGCAGAAGAACTAAGTTCAGTTCTTAGCATGTACACTGGTTGTCTCAGAACCCAGCTCAAGGTATCCAACACTTCCTTCTGGCCTCTATGGGCACTGCACTTACATGGTTGGTACATATATACAGGCAGACAAAACACTCATACATGTAAAATGAAATAAAACTTTAGAGAAAGTTTCTGAGAAGTTTATGTTGGGACTTTGAGTGTGAGTACATATCTCAGTTAGGCTTTCTATTGCTAAGATGAAATACTATGACCAAAAGCAACTTGGGGAGGAAAAGGTTTATTTGGCTTACTCTTCCATACCACTGTTCAGCATCAAAAGCAGTAAAACTGGGAACTCAAGCTGGGCAGGAACTGGAGGCAGGAGTAAATGAATAGGCCATGGAGGGGTGCTGCTTACTGGCTTGCTCCCCATGGCTTGCTCAGCCGGCTTTCTTATAGAACATAGGACTACCAGCCCAGGAATGGTATCACCCACAATGGGCTGGCCCCTCCCCCATCAATCACTAATTAAGAAAATGCTTTTCACTTTTTGATCTTATAGAGGCTTTTTTTTCCCCACATATTCTCTCTGTAGTCCTAGTGGCTGTCCTGGAACTCACAGAGATCCACCTGCCTCTGCCTCCCTAGTGCTGGCAATAAAGGTGTGCACCATCATGCCTGGCATTTCCCAGTTGAGGTTTCTTCCTCTCAGCTGACTCTAGCTTGGGTCAAGTTGACATAAAATCTAGCCAGCACAGTGCATCAAATGACCTTTGGATAACTTTCCTAGCCATGGACATGGACCAAAACCTCAATTATTTGGGAACTTTGAAAATATCTCCAGGAGTCCAATCAATGAGAGAGAGGAGGGATTCTATGAGCAAGGGATATCAAGACCATGACTGGAAAAACAAAACAAAACAAAACAAAACTAATGGAAACGCATGAACTGTGGACCAATACTGAGGAGCCCCCATAGTACTGGACTAGGCCCTCTGGATAAGCCAGACAGTTGTTTAGCTTGAACTGTATAGGGGGCCCCCAGGCAAAGGGATCGGGACCTGTCCCTAGTGCATGAGCCGGCTTTTTTGGAGCCTAGTGCCTATGGTGAGACACTTTGCTAGAAGGGAACCTATCCGGTGGCCAGAACCTGGGGCCAAGTTGGGCAGGTTTTCCTGGAGTGGTGCCCAGGGATGGGGCTGAGCCCGGGCACTCACCTCTCGGTGAGACACTTTGTGCAGCCTTGGTGCAGGGAGGAGGGCTTGGATCTGCCTCAACTGAATGTACCAGGCTCTGCTGACTCCCCTTGGGAGACCTTGCCTTGGAGGAGGTGGGAATGGGGGGGGCGTTGTGGGGGAAGGCTGGAGGGTGGGAGGAGGGAGGACAGGGGAATCTGTGGTTGATATGTAAAATGAATAGAAAATCTCTAAATAAATAAATAAATAAATAAATATCTGGTTTAAAAAAAAAGAGAAAATACCTTTTTAAGGGTTGGTGAGATGGATCGATGAGCTTTACTGTAAAAGCCTGGCCACTTGAGTTCAGTGCCCAGAACTTATGGTGGCAAGAGAGAACCAACTCCCAGAAGTTGTCCTCTGACTTCTACGTGCAAACTGAGTTACACACTCACACTCACAAACACATCAAACACACACATACACAAGAAATAAAATTTAAAATAAATAATAAAATGTTCTTTAATAAACTATTTCTTCTTTGAAACCTGTTCATATGTCTGTTAAATTTGATTTCGAATAGCCTACGTTTTTATTCCAAGATTTTAAAAAAAGATTTATTTTAATTATTTGCGTGTATGTGTGTGTGTGTGTGTGTGTGTCACACACACGCCCACACTCATGCACATGTAAATGAAGCGCCTGTGGACACCAGAAGAGGGCAATGGGAACTGTCTCTCCAGTTCCTATTTTTTATTTTTAGTTATCCGTGTGTGTATATGACTGTGTGTGGGTATGTGCATGTGAGTGTGGCTGTCCATGAAGGTCAGAAGTAGCTCTTACCAGTAAGCCACCTCTCTAGCTCCTTATATTTATTTATCACATTTTCAATATTTTTAGTTTTGTGTCTCTGTGAGACCATAGCATCAGATATCCCTGGAGTTACAGGCGATTGTGTGCCACCTGATGTGTTCTTCCACTCTGGAAGAACAGCCAGTGCTCTTAACCACTGAGCCATCTCTCCAGCCCCCTCTTTTTATTTTAAACGGTGTCTTTAGACTGGAGATGTACCTCCATGGCAGCACGCTTGTCTACCATGAGTAAAACCCTGAGTTTGATCCCCAATACCACAAAAAAGGAAAGATTATTATGAAGTGGTATTTTGTGAATGTGTGTGGTTGTGTGGCGGAATGTATTGTGTGTGGTATGTGCACACATGTGTGCGCAGCTGCGCAACCATCCCACACGTGTGGAAGCCAGAGGAGGGTTTCAATAGTCCTGTTCTCTCTCTCCTTCAGTTTTTCAGCTTGGCTGCCTGGCCAGCAAGCTCCAGTGGCCCACTTGCCTCCCCACCCGCCCCCACCCATTGTGTGGGGCTACAGTTGTGCACTGCTGTGCCTAACTTCTCTATGCTAGGGGTCCAAACTCAGGCCTCATGCTTTCCCGGTAATTATTTCCCAGTGAGCCGTCTTTCCAACCCTACATGGTAGTTTTTAATTGATTTGAAGTTATTCACTGCAGGTATATAGATCTTCATTTGCTTAACTGTTTATCTAGGTACTTGCATAATATGACAACTTTTCTAAAAGTCTTAGAAATTTTTTCTTTTCATTTTTATATGTAGATATTTCAATCATAACAAAATTTGGTTTCTTTCCAACTCTTTTTGTCTTTTTGTGGTGTATTAGTTAGTGTTCTATGGCTGTGATAAAACACCAGACCAAGGCAAATTATAGAAGGGAGGATTTATTCGGGCTTATCCAGAGGGATCAGAGTCTATCATGGGAGGGAATAGTGACAGCAGGCAGTGGACACAAAACAGCTGAGAGCTCATCTCTTGAACCACATGTAGGACACAGAGAGTGTATTGGGAATAGCATGAAGCTTTGAAGCCTCAAAGTGACATACTTCCTCTAGCAAGACTACACCTCCTGAACCTGTGCAAACAGCACTGTCAACTGGGGGTTAAACATTCAATGCCAGGGGTGCTGAGCACACCCTACTAACAGGTGTGCTGGGAACTCAGCCACTAGGGTCCATCATTATAGCATAGATCATTTCTGGGCCTAATACCCAGAGTGCTCTGCTCCTTAACCCAAGGCCTGACAGTCTGGCCATCCCCACAACTGCTCTACAGGCTTGCCTCCCTTGCCTCTGCTTGCCTAGGCTTTCCCTAGCCTCCTTGTGTCTGCTGAGTGACCCAGCTCTGCCAAGAACCGATGTCTCTTGTGCTGAGTAATTGACAGCAGGAAATACCCACTCTATAAAAGGAAGCAGATGAGTAAGACACTCACAGGCAACCTGGACAAGCAGAAGAGGTCAGCTGGACTCTCCAGTGCTTTGGTATCCAGCTGGGATTTGGATTTGCTGCTGGCTGTGGGTCAAGGGTGTGGAGTGAGGAGGCAGGACCATGTGGCTGTCCTCAGCTCTGCTGCTTCTCAGTTTCCCAGGTATGTTCAGCTAGGGTCTGGAGGCTTGGGACTGCAGGTGCAGAGCAGGAGGCAGAGGGCTCTGTCCTGGGTTTCAGGAGAGCTGCCGCCTTCAGGGAAAGGAAGCTCTGCGGCTTCATTCAGCAAAAGGACCCTAGGTTCTACATCATGCTAGGCATGCATCGGGACCTGGGTCATGACGGGAAAGGGGAAATGGAGATGGCTGTTAAAGAAATCCCAGATGCTCTGATGGGGAAGACATACTTTAGAATAGGAATTAACAGCAGGAAGGAACACAGCAGAAGAGGAGAGAGCTAAGGGGAGGGAGATGCTGCCATTGAAGGAGCTACGGAAAGTCCTCCTGGACCTGTTCCTTCCATGCCCCAGAAGGAGGCAGATCTTCACAGCCTTGCAGCAAGCAGAGCAGGCACTCCATGGAGAAGGCATGGCTTGGGAAAAGGGCTCCAGGCTTAGAGAGGACGGCACACTTGTGCAGAGGGAGCGCTCAGTGGGCAGGGTACTGAGGGGACACTGGCTAAGTGTGAGTTTGGAAATGCAAATGGTAAAGTGATGACTGTCCATGTGGATGCCTGCATGACCTAGCTTGCATCTGAGCTCTAGTCCCCCAGCTGCCTGCTCTCTAAATCTCAACATTAGAGTCTCCTAGAGGCCGAGGACAGGAGTGAGCTGTGCATGGCTTGTACATTTGCTCACACACACATCAGTATTGACTAGTACACTCAAAGGCACACATCTACATACAGTCACACTCTGTCCATACCTCAACGATCATCCACTCACTCACATTCACACACTTTAAGATGCCATACACTAAGACTGTTCACAGAAGGGATTTTAATTTTTATTTTATTGTGTGTATGGGTGTTCTGCCTGAATGTATGTAAATACATCATGTGTGTACCTGGTGCCTGCAGAAACTAGAAAGAAGTTACTAGATCCCCTGGAACTGGAGTTATGGATGGTTGCAAATTACCACGTTGGAGCTCAGAATGGAACCCTGGTCTCTGGAAGAGAAGCCAGTGCTCTTAACCACTGAACCATCTCTCCAGATACCCACCTACCCACCCCTTTTTTGATACAGGGTCTCATTGTGTAACCCTGACTGGCCTGGAACTCATTATGTAGACCAAGCTGGCTTCAAACTCACAAAGATCCTCCTGCCTCTGCCTCTCAAATGCTAGAGTTAAAGGCATATGCCACCATACCTACCCTGTTAGGTAACTTCAAAAGTTAATCTAATCATAATGTGCTTTGGACATCTTTCCTGTCATTGTTTGGACATTGCTCTTTACTTTTTAACTATGCTATTGCTAGATCCAAAATCCCCGATCTAATTCTCTGTTAATGGCCTTTGAGTTTTCCGGGTGTTTACTGTTACATCAGTACTGAGGCTAATGCCCTACCCTCCACCGTCTATGTTAATCCTAGAACTAGAATGATTGTGTGTATGACCACAATGCACAGATTCTTTACAAAAATAACTAACAACTCGAGTGGTACCCACCATGAAACTGAGCGAGACCCTGGGGTTGGGAGGGAGAAAGTCAATGCTGCACCTCTGTGCTTTGGGATTGAGAAACTTATTGAGGAAGTTAGGAAAAGAGATGGGTACCTGAAATGAAGTAGTCGGGCTCCAGACGAAGGGCCAGGGGGCCAACAGGAAGAGGCAGCTCCAAGAAAAGGATAAGGCATTGGGAAGGAGGCCAGCCTGGAGGAGGTGTGGAGAGTGAGCAGGACAAGGACTCTCCAGGCAGGACTAAGTCCGCAGCCTTAAGAGGAGGCATTGGGGTTAGGGAAAGAGAAAAGCTCAGGCGGCTGCAAGGGGAGCTGGGAATGACACTAACGAGAAACTAAATCCAGTGTGCAATAAGACGTCCATGCCAGAAATGAAGCTTTTTACGTCACTCTGGGGCAGGGGAGCAGCTGAGATGCTGGGTTCAGCTGAGGAGGAGACAGACTCAGTCCGGTCCCAGCAGCGGTCTGAATTGGAAAAAGGATGCACCGGACCTTTCTGAATGCTACTGCTACCTGACGAGGTTCCAGACAAGGGCCATCTCTGACCAAACAGCGCAGTGTCCAGCCAGTACATGGCTGACAGCGGCGTGGCAGCCATACAAAGAGGGAAGCAGGCTCAGAGAGGTTGAGTAACTTACCCAGGGTTTCTCAACAGCGCCATGGTAGATACGGCCATCTGCTGCCAGAGCTCACACTTTCTCTGCTCTGTCATGATGTCCCATGGGCTGTGGGGGCAGAGATACAAAGAAGGTGGTTCCCATCGGCATTTCCAGGGTGCAGCTGGCTGAACTGGTGACAGACCACTCCCGGAAGGAAGGAGAGATGGTTGCAGATGCACTTTCTCCAACGAGGCTTCTGCGTGGACTGAACTCAGTGCTTACAAGGTGGTCCGGCTGAATCCTTCATGCATCTCCTGTGGCGACTATAACAAGTGACCACAAATTCAGTAGCCCAGAACAACACAACCTCATCTTACTGTTCCAAGATCAAGAGTCCAAAATGGTCTCTGGCCAAAGTCAAGGTTGAGTTCCTTCTGGAGCTCTGGAGAGCAATCCATTTGCAGGCTTCATCCAAAAGCCCCCATGCATCTGTCGGCCCGGGGCCTCTCCTCCTCTTCAAGGCCAGCAGCAGAAAGCCTTCAAACCCAAGCCAGTTCCGGCACTCATTCATCAGGACACGTAGAATAATCCGGGACAATCTTACCTCAAAATCCCTAGTCACACCTGTAAACGCCTTTATTCTTTTGCTTTTTAAAACTACGCACATGCTCATGGAAGGGTCTTTCTATGTTGTTATTTTCTTTGGTGTGTACATGTGTGCTACAGAGCTTGTGTGGAGGTCAGAGGACAGCTTCGTGGAGTCAGTTTTCTCCTTTCACCTTTACATGGGCTGCGGGGATTGAACTCTGATTTCAAAACTTGTGCCACAAGTGCTTTTACCCATGGATCCATCCACTGGCCTTCCTTTTTCCATGTGAGGGCACATAGTAACAGCTTGGGTACTAGAATGTCAACAGTCAGCACTTAGTAGACAGAGGCAGGCATATTTCTGTGAGTTTAGGGCCAGCCTAGTCTATGTAGTACAGTGGTTCTTAACCTTTGGGTCATGACCCATTTGGGGGGGATCAAACATTCCTTTCCAAGGGGCTGTCTAAGACCATTGGAAAACACAGGTATTTACGCTACGATTCATAACAGTAGCAAAATTACAGTCATGAAGTAGCAACAAAAATAATTTCACAGTTGGGGTCACCACAACATGAGGAACTGTATTAAAGGGTCGAAGCATTAGAAAGATTGAGAACCACTGATGTAGTGAGTCCCAGGCTAGCCAGAGCTACACATGAGACCCGGTCTCAAAAAGAAAAATATCAACAGTCTGTGAAGAAGTCTGTCAACCATAGATGCAGACATCAAATAAAAACTGAATTTGGGGGGGGGGGGAACAAACTGAGTTAGTTCTACAGAGAAGGTCCGAGGTGTGAGCCGTGGCCCCAGCCTATTGTACAAACCTGCCCCACTCACAGAGACCAAAGTCTAGGACTGAGAGAGTCAAGAGAGGCTTGCACTGTTACTCTCTGCCTCTGTGTCTGCTTCCGGGTGCCTGAGAACAAGGGGTCACTGTATAGACAGAGTGTATCTGTGTCTAGTCAACGTCACTGGAATCACTCCACATACCAGCAGGATACACATTCCACATAGACACCGTCCAACCTGTTTGTGGCTCTGGTTCCTCTGTCCCTCGTTGGAGAGAGGAAGCAGAGTGTGCTGTATGCGAGAGGTGGTGAGATATGGGGGCGTTCATGTGATGGTCTAAAACCAAGGAGAGCATGTGGGCTACACATGTCACATGGAAGTCATCAGATTGTAGGCATTAATTAAAACCACAGACATGGGCATTCCCTCTGTGGAGGCTAGAGAGAGGGTCCTGGGTGTGATGCTTCATGGTCAGATTAGAGTCACCCAGGAGACACACATCTTTGTATACCTGTGGTGGTCTTTCCAGGGACATACAGGAGGAGAGAAGACTGGCCTCAATATGAGTAGCACCGTGCCGTGGGTTGGGAGTCTGGACTGAATATTTTCTTTTCATGAGAAATCCAACTGAGCACCAGCATTCATTTCTGCTTTCTGATGGCAGATGCAATGTGACCAGCCACCTCATATTCCCACCACCATATGGTCCCTGCCATGATGGATGCAGCCCTTAGATCACGAACCAGAAAAACAAAAACAAAAGCACAACCCTGCTTCCTTCATTAGGTTGCTTGTCGGGCATTTTTGTCATGGCTGGGAGGGAACTAGCTCACGTCCTGGATTTCCCCAGATACTTGTAGAACCAGCTCACAACGGCTCATAGGAGTTGGTTTGAGACATCTCAGCGCAGCTCCGTACTCAAGGATAGCCTGATGTCAGTCACAGTGTGGACATTGATACCACAGAGACTGGCAGATGTTAATAAGAGAGAAAGATTATTAAACATTTCCCAGCATGCCACTGGCTACTCTAAGATCTGGAGAGAGGAAAGGGAAGAGTCACAGAGTGGAATAGTCTGAGGAGGCGATCAGAGGACTGTGGTGATATTGTGTTCCCCAATATATTGTGCACGCTAATAAACTTATCTGGGATCAGAGAACAGAAAAGCCATTAGATACAGAGGCCAGAAAATGGTGGCACTCACACCTTTAATCCTAGCATTCCAAAGGCAGAGATCCGTCTGTGAGTTCAAAGCCACATTGGAAACAGCTAGGCATGGTGACACACGCCTTTAATCCCAGGAAGTGAGGCAAGAAGCAAAAAGGTATATAAGGTGTATATAAGGTATAACCAGGAACTAGAGCTGGTTAAGCTTTTAGGCTTTTAGCAGCAGTTCAGCTGAGATCCATTCCGGATGAGAAGTTGGCGAGGTGAGGCTAGCTGTGGCCTGTTCTGTCTCTCTGATCTTCCAGTGTTCACCCCAGTACCTGGCCCCAGGTTTGTTTTTATTAATAAGACCTTTTAAGATTCACGTTGCAGAGGACAGTGGCAAGAGGACATGGAAAAGAAGTGTCCCATGATGCAGGAGGCCTGGGGAGATGGAGTCTGGAGAGGCCAGGGCACGGGCATGCGGGTGGGGGGGTGGGGGGGCCGGGGGTAGGGGGGTGTTAATAACAAACTGGACCTCAGAGGAAACAGATGTGAGGATTCAAGCGGGTCAGGGCGGCTGGAGTGGAGGACCCTCGGCTAATCCTTCTGCTTAGAGGAGCAGAGGCCGTATCCTGCCCTTCTGTTTTGCAGGCTGTCTCTCTATCCAAGGCCCAGCGTTGGTGAGAGGCCCAGAGAAGGGGTCGGTGACTGTGCTGTGTCGCTATAGCTCGAGATGGCAGGGGAACAACAAGTGGTGGTGTCGCGGAGCAAACTGGAACACTTGCAGGGTCCTCATTCGAACCAATGGGTCGGAGAAAGAAAGGAGGAGCGGCCGCTTGTCCATCAGGGACAACTGGAGGGACAACTCTCTCCTGGTTACCATGGAGATGCTCAAGCAAAATGACACCGACACTTACTGGTGTGGTATTGAACGATTTGGAACTGACCGCGGGACCAGAGTTAAAGTGACCGTTTACTCAGGTAAGCGCTTTCCTATGGGTACCACAAGGCTCTGGTGCTTGGGGCCACAAAGACTAAGAAGACAGGACTGAGAGCCTAGAAGACAGACAGACAGACAGATGGGACAGGGCGTTGACAGAGTAAGGGAGAATAGCAAGCAGCCCAACACTTTTACCGATGCCAGCCCCGGAGGTCTCTCCGAGGAACCCAGCTGATATGTGCCCTGACTGGCAGATGTTGGTGTGGGGCTGGGGCTTGGGCATCTCGCTCTGTGACCCATGGCCCAGTTCTGCTGTCCTGTTGTCCTGGAGGCACACAGCCCTGGAAACTCACATTCTTCCACTGGAGTCTTGGGTCGGTCTCGGATGCCTAAGAAGTCCTCAGCACAGCAGGCTGAGAGGTTTCTAGTTTTCCAGAACTTGTACCCTTCACCTGTCATTCCAGGAGACAGTGGGGCTAAGGCATCCGTAGGGAAGGGCCCCAGGTTGAAGCCCAGGCCTAGCCAAACCACAGTGACTCTGGCCACGCTGGAGGGACTGAACTTTCTGGGTGACCACTTCTGCTTTTTCTGACTGCAGAAGAATAAGCATGGGGTAAGGAAGACCCAGGAGGCTTGTAAGTGATTAGTGGATGCTGGAGAACCAGAGGCTTCGGCTACTAAATCAGAATCAGAGACATCCCTGGTTCTCCTGGCTTCTCCCTGCCTCAGCCTCAATGAGGGACTCCAGGAGCTTCTGTTGGTGCCTGAAAATCAGCACCCGCCCCCTTCCACCCAACTAGTCATGCTCAGATCTTCCTCAGCCCAGCAACCATGCGGGCTCCTGAGAAGGCAGCGGGCAAACAGTGCTGGCACTGGAAGTAGCCCATGGGATGGCAGGGCTGAAACCAGTGGGAGAGGTGTGGACGTTGCCCCCTAGGGGAAGTGAGGTACAGAAAGGGCCACCCCCAAAAGATTTCCTCAGGTTTACCACCCAGGGGAAGCTGAGATGTGTGGGGACAGAAAGGGGATTGAATGAGACATGTAGGCAAAAGACAGAGTAGCCAAAGAATGTGCCCCATGCTGAGCTTTAAGTGTCCAAGGCGGTTGGGGACACCAGCCTGTAGGCTGATTGTGACCTCTTGGAGGGCTGCAAGGACTGGAGCTCCCCAGAGTTCTGCCCAGCTTCCAAGCGTGATTAAAACCCGGAACCTCAAGAGCTAGCCCAAAGGACAGCTGTGAGCCAGGGATGCCTCATGCCCAGCTGGACTCAGGAAGCCATGACCCAGCCACCCACTGCAAGACAAACCATTGTTTCCCCTCTAACATTTCCTTCCTCATGGTCACTCACGATTGAACTGGCATGTGCCTTCTCGCTCAGCCACCTTCAGGAGTCCCTCTGCTACTCGCCACTCTAGCCACTAGAAACTTGTGGCAGATCAACTGAGATCATCTGTCCTTGAACCTTACTCAGATACTATTTGAATGGAAAGGAACAAAGATTCTTGCCCACTGCCAAAACAAATGGAAAGAGACTATGGTGTGTCCCCTCCTCCAGAATAAACTAGTCTTCCTCCTCCTTCATTTCTAGATCTCTCTGTCATATCTTCTATTAATAAAACTGATGGAGGAAATGATTATATGGGGGATCAGATGGTTTAAAAGAAGCCAAAGGACTATATCAAAGAGACGGCTTCCTAATCCAGGGGAAGAAAGGTCTCCTGGTGTGCTGGGCAGTTTTATGTCAACTTGGCACAAGCTAGAGAAGTCACTGGAGAAGATGAAACCTCAGTTAAGAAAATGCCTCCATAAGATCGGGCTGTAGGCAAGCCTGTAAAGCATTTTCTTAATTAGTGATTGATGGGGGAGGATTCAGCCCATTGTGGGTGGTGCCACCCCTGGGCTGCTGGTCTTGGGTTCTATAAGAAAGCAGGATGGCGGACTGGAGAGATAGCTCAGCAGTTTAGAGCACTGTCTGCTCTTCCAGAGGACCCTAGTTCAGTTCCCAGCACCCACCTGGCAGCTCACAGCTGTCTATAACTCTAGTTCCAGGGGATTAGACATCCTCACACAGACATATGTGCAGGCAAGACACCAACGTACATGTAATTATTTTAGAAAAGAAAGAATAAAGAAAATTATTGAAGGAAGGAAGGAAGGAAGGAAGGAAGGAAGGAAGGAAGGAAGGAAGGAAGGAAGGAAGGAAGGAAGGAAGGAAGGAAGGAAGAAGGCTGAGCAAGCCATGGTTAGCAAACCAGTAAGCAGCACCCTCCATGGCCTCTGCATCAGCTCCTGCCTCCAGGTTCCTGCCCTGCTTGAGTTCCTGCCCTGGTTTCCTTCAGTGATGGACAGGGATGTGGAAGTGTAAGCCCAATAAACCCTTTCCTCCCCAAGTTGTTTTGGTCATGATGTTTCATCACAGCAACAGTAGCCCTGACTAAGATACCCAGTGAGGGCTGGTTGGAGGGGTGCCATTGTGATCCATTCATGAACCACCCCAAATCTGTTCCATAACCTATGGCCATCTTTGCTTGTGTCTAGTGGGAAAAGATACCACGTCTTCTTCTAAGCTACCTTCCGCTCTGCCCACTGTGGACAGCAGTGCATACATGATGTCTTCTGACTTGCACAAGAGGTGAGTCCTGAGGTGCTTTCTCCTTCCTCTACATGGGTTCCTCCTACGGGAATGCCAAGCCCATGCTCTATCACCAGGTGCCAGTGATTGTCATAGTCAAGATTCAAGGTCCCAAGGCCATCTTTGTCCCTGATACTTCCCACCCACCATGGTCCCATTCCAGCCCCACTAGAAAACCGTTCTGTAGAACTGTCTGTCCATCACTACCCAGCCCTGGTGGCATCATGGCAGTCAAAGGGAGAGATGGTCCCATAAGGTCCCAGTCTTATCTCGGGAGCAGGGCAGGGGGAGAGATTTGCCAACCTGGAGCCAATGTTGAGGGCAAAGTAAGCAAACACAACCCAGATACAGAGAGCTCCAGGTTTCTGCCGAGATACAGGAAACTATGGAGAAGAATCCTAGAAGAAAGGATGGGGGACAGGCCACACCAAGACCACCTGGAGTCACTGAGGGGCCCTCATGGTTGGGTGGACCTTGGAGAAAAATCTCTGGGGGATTTTTCAAGTAGGATGTGGGCCTTCAGTTTCAGGCTGTGATGAGCTAGCTGGCTGTTGACTTCCCAGTGTTGGGGAATGGGGCATAGTGGGGCTCAAAGGCATGGGACCCTGATGGCTGTGTCTTCCTCATAGGACCCACTACATACTCCTGGTGTTTGTGAAGGTGCCTGTCTTGCTCATCTTGGCTGGTGTTGTCCTCTGGCTGAAGGGGTCAACTCAGAAGGTCCCCGAGGAACACTGGAGAGATACTCTCTGTAGCAGTTTGGACTCTGAACCTCTGGCCAAAGACATTGATCCTTAGACTGATGTTTAAGCAGGACCTTCCCATTCTGGACTCTCGTTCCAGAGACCACGGCCATGGAAGAAATGTCTTTAAGTCCTCAGTGGGTAGTGACTGAGGCTGGTGCCCGGAGGGCTCGGCCAGGCATGATTTCCACTCTGCACACCATGGGGCCACCGCTCAGACGCCGCCTCCCCCTGAGGTATCATTACACCTGCAGTACCAGTCTCTCCCTCCTCCTTTACATCCTCATCTGCCCTATCCCATCTACCCACCACGGTCAGCCCGGGGTAAGAACTGCTGGAATGGAGCCCAAGCTGCAGAAAGACAGCTGTGTGTCCCCTGCTGTACAGAGCCTGAGACAAAAGCACAGAGAAGCAAAAGGGACCCAGTGGTGTGGCTAGATCGTCTGTGCTCTGACTCTGTCATAGAAAGGTCAGTGAGAGTGCAGCAGGCGCCCATTCTCTGTCCTGCACACTGAGCCCACCCCGAGCATGCACTTTTGAGGAAAAGTGAGGCGTGCTGCCTGCCTGGCAGGCCCGGAGTCTGGAGTGTGGAGAATTCAGATATCCATGACTTAGCCACAGGAGCCGGGGCTGCATTTCCCAGCAGGTGCGTTTTGCTCCAGGGCCAGGAGCAGAAGGCCGCACACTCTTGAATAGAGCTTCCGACTCCACAGACTCATGACATGCTGGTTTTAACCAAAGGTTAGCCAGGGGAGAGCAGCAGAGAGAGCAGGGCAGGCAGAGAGAGCCATGTGTCTCCCGCCCTGGGTCCTCCCCACGGCCCGCACTGCAGCATCTGCACCCCAGAGGAAGTCTGGGCTAGGGTGGCTCGTCAGAGCAACTGCCAACAGCACCAGCCAGGAAGGTGGTGAGAATGGTCCCTTATCAGAGAGTTCTTCTGCTTTTAACTGTGGTTGGCAGGGGGGGGGGGAGCCTAACATGTCTTTTTCAAGAGTTTCTAGTGCACAGCACAGAGCTAATATGCACAGTGCAAAGGCAGCAAATCTCTGGAACATTCTCATCTTGCAAGACTCAGCCTCTAAGCCCACTGGGCAAAACCCACACCCCACCAGGCCCTGACTACCACCATTTCACTCCCCCCTCCTCCTTCCCCCTCCTGCCTCAATAAGTTTTGCTAATGCACCTGAGTGGAATCATGAGGCATTTGTTATTCTGGGATTGCTTTATTTTAGTTAGCATCATGTCCTAAAGGATCATCCATCTTCTAGCCGATGACAGAATTCCTTTAGGTTAAATGCTGGATAATATTCCACTGTGTGGATGTACCACCCATTTACTAATAGGCCTTTTGGCTGTTTCTATGTTTGTGGGCAATGAGCATTGGTGTGTTGGTATCACGTTGAGATGCTGTCTTCAATTCTCTTGGATATGGTCATGATGGTTAATCCTGATTGTCGATTTGGCTGGGTTTAGAATCACCTTCGAGACACTCCTCTAAGCCTCTCTATGAAGGTGCTTCCCAAGAGGTTTAACTGAGGAGCGGATGAGCCACTCTGAACGTGGGTACTCACCATCCGTAGCCTGGGATCTCAGACCGAACAAAAAGGAGGAGCGGGGAAAAGTGAACTGAGCACCAGCTGGCTCATCTCTCTCCTTCCTGAGGATAAAGTGTGACTGGGCAGCTCGTGATCTGGCTGCTGCAGCTAGATCTGCTGCTGCCGCCATGCCCTTCCCAACGTGACAGACTGTAGCCCTTAAAACTGTGAGCCAAAATAGACCCTCCCTTCCTCAAGTGTTTTGCAACAGCAGTGAGACAAGTACCTAGCGTGTATATCCAAGAGCACTGTTGCTGGGTCCAGATGTGGTCTCTTCAAATATGCTATTTTCAAGCATTCTCTCCCATCCTATGACTATTCTTACACTCTATTGAGAGTAATGCTCTTTTTGTCAAATACGGAGATAATGGATAATTTATGGCAGGGGAAAAACATAACTTAAAACAAGCTGGCTCCAAGAAGTAGGTAGAGAATTTCACTTTTTATAAGAATATTATAGTGGCCAGCAGTGGTGGTACACACCTTTAATCCCAGCACTCTGGGAGGCAGAGGCAGGTTCTGTGAGTTCAAGACCGTCCTGGTCTACAGTGAGTTCCGGAGCAGTCAGGGCTACACAGAGAAACTCTGTCTTGAAAAGACCAGAAAAGAAAAGAAAAGAAAAGAAAAGAAAAGGAAAGGAAAGGAAAGGAAAGGAAAGGAAAGGAAAGGAAAGGAAAGGAAAGGAAAGGAAAGAAAAGAAAAGAAAAGAAAAGAAAAAAGAAGAAGATTAAACCATATACACATGCATATAAAATAGACTGTCACATACCAAGCTATCAACATTATTTTTGGTAAGTGAATAAATAATCTTCCCTTTACTTTTATGGATTTGTTTGTTTATGCTAAAGTCTCACATATTCCAGGCTGATTACTATGTAGCTGAGGATGACCTTGAACTCATGCAGGATCTTCCTGCCTCCATCTCAAAACTGCTGAAATTACAGGTGCGTACCCTCAGTTTTATATGGTGCTAGGGATCCAACCCAGGCAAGCACTCTACCAACTGAGCTACATTCCAACCTGTTTTCCAACGAGATTTTAAAATCTTTTCTTTTTGACAATTTCATATATGTATACAATGTGTTGTCAGGTCCATCCCCATCACCCTCTCTCATCCTCATCTCAATCTTGCTAACCCCCCTCTTCTCAACTAGTCTCCCTACTTTTGTGTCACAGCCGCTGTGTGTTCACAATTGCAACAGCAACACCATATCCAGAGGATAGCATTTCACAGCCCTCCCCCAATTCTTCAACTCTGACATTCTTGCAACCATTGTTGTGGAATACTACTTTAACTGTGTAAAGAGGTGTTACATTTGTTTATGCTGCCTTTGTTAATGATGTAAAGAGGTGTTACATTTGTTTATGCTGCATTTGTTAATGATGTAAAGAGGTGTTACATTTGTTCAACTTTGCCTGCCTAAGGCACCTGATTGATTTAATAAAAAAAAAAAAAAAAAACTGAATGGCCAATATCTAGGCAGTAGAGGGATAGGCAGGGCTAATGGGTAGAGAGAATAAGTAGGAGGAATCCAGGCTGGAGAGGGAAGAGAATGAGGGAGAAAGAGAAGGAGATGCCCAGGGCCAACCAGCCAGGCACAGAGGAAGCAGGAAAGTAGGACATACAGAATGAAAGAAAGGAAAAAACAAAACAAACAAACAAACAAAAAAACTCAAGGCAAAATGTAGTTAAAGAAAAAATAAACAGGTTAAAATGAGTTATAAGAGCTAGTGGGACAAGACTAAATTAAGGCCAAGCATTCATAACTGATTATAGTAAGTCTCCATGTCATGATCCGGGGGGCTGGCAATCTGAGCAAGCCTGCTACAAGCCTTTCTTCTTCAGTGTTTCCTGGGCCTTGAAGAGGGGTGATACAGATGTCGTGTTTAAGGATGAATACCCACAGTCACTTATTCTCAGCACTTTGACCAGTTATGAGTTTCTTCTCTGACCAAAGCCAAGAGCAGTACTGGTCTACAGACATAAGCACAGATGTTTAGAAAGCAGTTTGACTATGTGTCCTTTGGCAAAATATCAGAGTGTTTTTGATCAAGTTTACAGTTTTCAAGTTACAAGTTTACTAGGCTTTCACTCCCTCCCATGGAGTGGCTTCAAATTCAAGCAGAGAGTGGTTGTTTACCCCCAAAACAGCAATGCCACCATTGCACCAGTGAGTCCATCTTGCCTGGAAGGTTGCTATTGTAATATTTAGGGTCCATGTTTGGGTAAGACCACTGACCTTACCACTTGGTAAGGCTCCCCCCAAAGTGCCTACATAGCACTTTCCTGCTCTACTCACTTCCCAGGAGAAGCTTCCAGCTCAATTCCAGCCTAATTCCTCTGTGTCCTGTAACCACATTGTATGATGTCTCTGGCAATAAAGTAAACTATGTATATTTTAATATTCATCTGTTAGTATTTTGTGTGTTTGAGTGTTTTGCCTGCATGTATGTACATGTGCCACATGTATACCTAGTGTCACAGAAGCAAAAGGTGGGGACCATATCCCCTAGAACTGGAATTACAGATGGTTATGAGCTGCCTTATGGGTGCTAGGAACTGAACCCAAGTCCTCTGCAAGAGGAGTCAGTGGTCTTAACCACTGAGCCATCTTGCCAGCCCCCAATTATATTTTTAAATAATCCCATTTTGCTCACGTTTCTACTTTGCTCATAGGTAGGCAATTTTGAATCTACCACAATGGGGTCTTACATTTAGGTCCCCTCCTTGAAAAGTCCCAGCCTTCTGTTTCTCCCCATTCCATAGGTCAGCTCCCAGCCCTTGCCTCCTTGTTCAGGCATTTGTCCCAGGGCATCCACCACTTCCTCTATACTCTCACTGTTAGCTCCCCACAACTTTAAGCTGGTTATTTGGCCTTTGTGGGTGGACTGATGCAATTTCCTTCCTGTTTTCTGCCTGTCCCCTCATCATTATCTTTATCCTAACACTGGTCTCTCCTGATTCCTAGGAAGCACACTGCATACAGTCATCACACTCAGCTCCAACAACTTCCAAGGAAGAAATGAATCATCTCTTCTAGAACATTCCAAGAGCCCCTCCTTCCACACCTCCCTTAAAATGTCATTGTCTGGTTCAGATTCATGGGATCACCCTTAAATCAATCAATGCTAAGATGATTGGAAACACCTTGCAACTGGGGTATAATCCTCTGCCAATTCACACTCAGACAAAACATCACTGTCTTGGTGTGGCAGCTGGGCAGGAGGCTGCTATACAGCTCTGTTCTTGGACTTATTCACATGTTGCCCGGGTCCTGCCCCTTAGTCTGTGTGAACACAACAGTCCCTTGCTCTCTCATCCTGTCTCAACAGGGACACATCGCGAGAGACCAGAATACACACCAAAGCATCCCCTCTCCTGCATACACCTGATAGTCAAGTTGCAGATGCCATTTTCTGACTGTGAGTTCTCTGTAGGATGCAGCCTGGGAAATTTGACCTTTCCTTGGCCTCTCAGCTCAGGCTCCTCCAGGACAAAGTAATGCTCCTCTTTGCAACAAAATATTCTGTGAGGACACCAGCTCCTCACAGCTGAAGGTTAGGTGACCATCACTTTCTAGATGCTTGTGACAAACCCAATAGCCATATTCCTGTAAATCAATCAATCAATCAATCAATCAATCAATCAATCAACCAAACAATCAATATTGAGGCTTTATTTAGCAGCCAAATTTTCCCTTAAATGTATTTTTCAGGGAACAATTTTCTCTGCAGTGTTAACGAGGGTCGCCTCTCTGATTCTGGAGAAGATATGTCTTAATTTCAGGGTATCCTCAGATGGCATCAGCCAGAGGAAGATGGGGCACTGCTGGCACAGGCTTGGGAGAAGGAAGTGGCAGAAATCCTACCAGTCACAGCTCAAAGCCCCTGTCAAGAGGTCCCTGCTTATGGCTGTGGCACCCAGTGTGACCCTTGGATGAAGCTGTCTGGCTGAGCCTCCATCTTGGGTTAATGTAATTACTCTTATCCATCAGTCATAGCCATGTATCTGGGTGACTGGAGATGCAACAAGATGTCGCCTGTCATCAATCCTTTACATAGGAGAGGGGATGCTCTGATGTGTCTCCCAACGACTCATTGGTGATGTCCCTGTTGTGAGCCGCTGGCATGCCACTGTCTGCTTCCCACAGCAACTAACCCTGGAAAACTCCATAGCCTTGCTAGTATAACAGAAAATCAACACTGTCCTCCATCAGACACACAGAGGTGCCAGAGCTCCACCACCTACCCCAGGACACCCAAGATCAGTGAATAACATTTCAATTGCTCCCACAGAGCAACTATGGAAGAAAAAAGACCCAATTCAAAGCATTCCCTACACACCTAAAAGACATACAGAAGCTTCACCTTGAAGACGTGGTGGGAGAACACTTTCCTGACCACAAAGAGAGGATGGCTGACCTGAGACAGTATGAAGCTGTGACCTGGAACAGAGTGACGGGTACAATATGGAGGACAGCATGCTTGGTGGAGCATCCATGGAAAGCCATATGCAGCAGAACCAAGATATATTCCTATCCAGCACTTCCTTCCTACTTCTAGAACATTCTCCTGTCTTCACCTCCCATCTCACAGTAGCTGTGCTAAGATTACAGATGTGCACCACTGCATTCAGCTTTTTCACATGGTTTCTGGGGATTCAACTCAAATCAGTGGCCCCTGAGCCATCTCGCTCACTCGATCGCTTGCTCCAGACTTTTCATTGCACATTTCCACAAAGGCACGTGAGCGTGAGCTCTCTGCATGGCAACCACCACCACAAGTTTGTTGTTGGAGACGAGCCGTGGGAGGAAGAAGAGGAAGCTGTGGAGCAGGAAACTTGCTTATCTTCTTTACTTCCCCATCCCTGGGGTCATCTGGAGTCTCACAGACAGTTAACAGATAGTGCTAAATAAGGATGGAGGGAATGCTGGGAAATGGAGGCGTGGATGTGAGAATGGGAGTCTGAAAAGAGGGTATGTTAACTAAGAGGTGTGCTGTTTGTTTGTTTGTTTGTTTGTTTGTTTGTTTGTTTGTTTGTTGAAACAGCGTCTCATTCTTTAGGCCTGGCTGACCTCAAACTTGCAGCAATCCTCCTACCTCAATTTCCAAAGTGTTGAGGTCCCAGGGTGAGTCATTGTAGCTGGCTATAATTCAGTCAGCAACACAGAGACAGTTTCTCAAGATAGAGACACGGTGTTTTAAGTCTCAAGGAGCAGGGGATGGCTCAGCTTTTCTTTATTTTCAAGCATCGAAGCTTTTTTTTACTTTTACTTTATTTTATCTGTATGACTGTTTGCCTGCATGTATAATATACCATGTGAGTGTAATGTCCTCAGAGGCCAGAAGAGGGTGTCAGGTCCCCTGGAACTGGAGTTACAGATGGTTGTGAGCTACCATGTGGGTGCTGGGAATCAAACCCAGAGCCTTAGGAGGAGTTGGCAATGTTCTTAGCTGCTGAGCCATGTTTCTAGGCCCTTTTTGGATTTTTTCTATGATAAATATTCCTCTGTAGTTT